CTTGGACAATTCCTTCTTTAATTGGCTAATCTTTGTTGCATCCTTTTCAACGATCAACATGTCATTAACATAAAGTAGGAGTGCAATGAAACTGTCATCCAATAATCTCTGAACATAAACACAATGATCTGCAGCAGTCCTCTTGTAACCTTGATCCTCCATGAATGAGTCAAACTTCTTATACCACCGTCTCTACACTTGCTTGAGGCCGTACAGACTCTTCCTTAACTTGCAAACCAGATTTTCCTTTCCTGGAACCTTGAAACCTTTCAGTTGTTCCATATAGATTTCTTTATTTAGATCTCCATGAAGAAATGTTGTTTTCATGTCCATTTGTTCAAGCTCTAAGTTTAAACTGGCTACTAATCCAATAATGACTTGAATTTAGATCATCTTAACAACTAGTGATAAAATATCGCCAAAGTTGATTCCTTTCTCCCGTTGGAATCCTTTAACGACCAATCGAGTCTTATACGTCAACAGTTTTCCCCTGTCATCTTTCTTCAGCTTGAGCACCCATTTATTTGTCAGTGCATTCTTGCCTTTTGGAAGCTTCACTAGCTCATAGGTTTTATTTTTCTACAAGGAATCCATCTCATCCTACAATGCTTGCATCCATATTTATTTATCCATATGAGCTTGTGTTTCTGGAAGCTCTCCGGGTCCCGATCATTAGTAAGCATAATATAGTCTGACTCTGGATATCTACTCGATGGAATGTCTCATCTTCCAGATCTTTGTGATGGATGCTAATCAGTTATATGAGGTATACCATCATCTGACTGATATGATAAACCTACAGTATCTGGTGGAAGGGGTTGTTACTCCCCCTGCTCAACACCTTCTTCATCATGTTGTTCTGATTTTGGAGATTGATCCTACACTTCGCCGTTATCAATGGTGAACTGTCACGGTATAGGGTCTAGAATAGTATCCTGTGCACTGAAACTAGAACTGTTAGACTTTGTGGGATTATCAAAGTCCTCGTACAAATGGTTTTCATGGAACACCACATCCCTAGTCCTAATGATCTTTTTAGCCTTTGGGTCCCAAAATTTGTATCTAAATTCTTTGTCACTGTAGCCTATAAATATGCATGGAGTGGTCTCGACATCAAGTTTCTGTCTCTACTCCTTGGATACATGTGAAAATGTCTTGCACCTAAATATTCTTAAGTGAGAATATGAGGGATTCCTACCGGACCACACCTTTTTCAGAATATCAAAATTCGACGGCATTGAAAGTGATCTATTTATCAAATAACTAGTAGCATGAATAGCTTTACCCATAATGGCTTTGGCAGCTTTGCCATACTAAGCATGAATCAGACTCTTTCCATAATGGTTTGATTCATCCTCTCTATAACACCATTATGTTGTGGGGTAAGTGGAACCATCTTCTCATGTCCGATAACATAATTACCACTGTATATTTTGAACCCTCTGAAAGTGTATTTGCCTCCATTTTCTGTTCGGAGAAACTTCAGCTCTTTTCTCGTTTCTCGCTTTGCCATGGCATGGAATCTTTTGAAACATTGGAATACTTGATCCTTTGTCTTTAGGAAGTACACCTACAAATGAAGCATCGTCAATAAAGGTAAAAAAATATTTGTTACCACCTAATGATTCCTCCTTTAAGGGACCGTAAACATCAGAGTGTACCAGGCTCAACAACTTTGATCTTCTCTTCATAGAGGAATTGAACGAGACTTGATGGTGTTTACCAAACAAGAAATGCTCGCAATGATTTACAGCAATATCCTTGCAAATTATGATGAGATCCTTCTTTGCTAAGGTAAGCAATCATTTTTTCTTTCATGTGACCGAGTCTCTAGTGCCATAGATTTGGTGAAGCCTCATTTTCAATTGCATTAAGGTTGTTTGAACAAAACTTCACATGGTTCTTGTAACACGTGCCACAAATACGTTAATGGGAGAGAACCATGGCATCTTTCGTAAGCTTTCATGTGTCATTACTAAAGCGATTATCGTAACCCCATCTATCAAGGGCTATCCTAGAAAGTAGATTTAACTGAAGGTCAAACACATGTCAGACATTCTTCAATACCAATGTACAACCAACATTGTTTTTTTATCTAAATATCACCAATTCCCACAATCTTGGAAAAACTGGTGTTTCCCATCTTCACTGTACCAAAGTCTTTGGCTTTATATGTCGAGAAGAAATTGGTATAAGATGTAGTGTGGTAAGAAGCTGCAGTATCTACCACCGACTCAGCATCATTGCTAGAAACATGAAGGCATGTCTCCTAATTGATAGAAAGAATGGCTACATCCCCTAATAGAGTGACTAGTGTATCTCTATCTTGTTTCTTTAGCTGATTACTGCTTTGGTCTTACTCTCATAGCAACTTACTACATTTTTTCTGTATGTGCCCCTACATGCCACAATGGTAACACTTGTATATGGGTCTTCCACATCATTTGATCTCCCTAATTTTGTGATCTTCCTCTACTTGTACTCCTTCCTCTTCCCCTACCTCTGCTACCTCCTTGTTGTTTGCCTCTGCCCTCAGTAATGAGGGCATTTGATTGGTCAATGTCGGCGTCCTTTATCCTTGCCTCCTCATTGAACAAGGCATCATTAACCATTGACATAGTAGGTTCGCCTCCTAGAGCTGAATTGCTGAGAGAGACTACCAGTGTCTCCCAACTGTCTGGTAGAGAACTGAGAAGTAGGAGAGCTTATTCTTAATCCTCCAACTTTAATTCTGGTGATGATAATTAATTCACCAAAATCCGGAACTAACTAGTGTGCTCGGCAATTGAAGTTTCACTTTTTAATTTCAGATTCACCAATTGCCTCATTAAAAGGGCTTTATTCCAATCTGTCTTGGCCTGGTACATGTCTTTCAGTTTCTTCCAAAGAACATAAGCATCAATCTCTTGTGCAACATGGTGGAATACATTATGGTCAATCTATTGCCTGATTTGACCTATGGTTTTTTCTGTTCAGTTTCTTCTACTCTATTTCTATTGTCGGATTTGGATTAACACCTTTTACCTCCAAGGGAACATACAAGTCTTTATAGCTTAAGAGATCTTCTATTTGAGGTCACCATAGTGTATAATTGGAGGCAATAAGTATGATCCTAGCTCTCGAAGTTGATTCCTCAATGGATATTTTATGCATTTAGGCTCCAAATGTCTTGATAAAAAATTTTGGGGCTGAATCTTGCAAAACGGAGTGCACCTTTGCATCTAGAATGATTGAAATAGATGGAAAGTAATCTTAATTCATAAAATATGGAGCTAAAATGAGCTTAGAGCTGGCTAGGATATTTTTTAGTAAACCTAATGAAACATTCCGTTAAACTTGACGGAATATGTTGACGATGATGGAATATTCCTAATGTCTTCAACCTTACCCCAATCATCAGTCAGATAACTTTTCTGGTAGCAACTCTAGCGATATTCGATGAGTTTTCCTGTGACGACCCGTATATAAATTAATCATTTAATTAGGTCATCAATTATGATGCTATATAATTAAGGGTGATTTTTAGAAATTTCAAATGAATAAATAGACTTCAAATATAAATTCTTTATGTGAAAACAGATCGAATAACTATAATATAGGTCATATTTTGAATTAAAAATGATGTGTTATTCAAATGATATAATAAAGGTGTAATATATTTATATACACATACATATATATATAGGTGTCCAAATATAAGAGTACGAGTCACTTATTATGTGCTCAAATTCCAAAAAAGAAAAAGAAAAAAGAAAGGTAAGTAACATGGACAAGTGTCCATGTGATGCTCGGAGGCCAAGCCACAAATTGGCTATAAATAGCCATCACCTGGCCATTCGAGCAAAGAATCAAATAGAAGAAAGGAAGGGAGAAAGAGAGAAAAAGATGGAGAGAGAGAGAGAGAGAAATTTATGAGATTTTGGGGTCACAAAATAAATAGAAAATTTTACTATCGATCATTACCAAATTGAAGTGCCCTATTCGGAGTACTTCAAATTTCTTATTTATTGAAGATATTAATGATTTTGAGGTACGGGGTAGTATACAATATGCTCCTGTCTTTTAAATATCTTTGCAAAGAGTGTCCTTCATTTTTTGAAATTTTGTATTCCTATTGATTATTTTGATTTATATGAAATTCTATCAATGTTATCGGTTGACCTGTACGTGTACGTTGGGCTAAATACTTTGGGATAACTTGGTACATGTACGAAGTGTACTTGGGGGCATAATTGGTGAAATGTGATTGTGGCCCTGCGAGGTGCGATTCTGATTACAACCCCGAGGGGTGTAATGGTTCGATATGAGTATGAATTTTAAATGTCCAGATGTCACTTGTCATGTCACCAAGAGGACCCGAGTATGAGGCTAGGTTTGATAGATATTGAGTTATGTGACTTATCAAATTGGATTCTTGATTCTTTTATTTATGATTGTCTATCGATTGAATTATTTAGTATTTGATCATTCATATTCTTTTCTCGTGAAGCATATTGTTTCCTGTCATATTGTATACTTCCTGCCTTTAATATTTTTCAGGATTATCTTAGAGGGAAGGACTAGAGTTAATATTTAAAGAATCGAAGACAGACGAATTTTGATATAATTTTTAACTTTGTGGTTTATTGGGTGATATATAATTTGAACAAATTCGTTTTTATATTGAGGAGATTATTTTATTGGTATTTGGAGATCAAAATTGTGGTTATAAATTTATTGAGGCAATTAGAGTTTTGGCCTTATACTCGGAGATTTATCTGTGGTTTATTATCGATCAATTGATTTAATCAAGTAACGGGTCCGGAAAACCGGGACGTTACATTTCCCGTAGTCTTCTGCGGTGATTGGTAGAAACTCTCTAGCGAACTTCCGGCGGGGAGCGTGAGAGTGCGTCCGACCTTGGATTGATGCAAGGCCAATGGAGTTCGACTTGTTTTGACAAGGGGAATCCAATGGTGTCCAAAAAAATACCTCTAACAGAAAATATATAAAACAAAGAGGAATTCTTTACTTCTCTCTGGAAATAAATACAAGAATATTTTACAAAAAAAAAAATCTCAAGACCTCTCCGGGATCGCTCTCTCTTTGTTTCTTCCTCACTAAGGGCTCCCAGAAATTTTGGTCAGCAAAAACTGTAGTGAAAGCTCGTGGATCCTTCAATCACATATGCCATTGTTCTTTATGGCAAGAGTCATACAGGATACCAAATCATCTGCTTTTAACCTCAGAAAAGCCAACTCGGATGATTAACTTATTATGCAGTGCATCACAAAGAAGTAGAAACAAAATTTTTCTCCCAACGCCAATTCAATTATGAGGCAGTTTCGTTTTATAAGTGAAGGAGCAAAACCAGCATCACATTATTCAAGCTTGGTGTACTTTTAGAAGCTCTTCCGATGATCAAACAAAATCCAACGCAAATAAGACATACTTGAGAGAAAAGTAAAATAAACTTCAATGAAGTAAAGAATCAAGGTAATTTTTGTACATTTCTCTAACTCTGCTTCAAATTTTGAATGCACTCTGTTTACAAGCAACTCCTTGTGGTGGTTGCTTGAAACTGGCAATCCAAGATGGTAAAACAGGCGCCTTCGTCTTCTCCAGTTTGAGATACAATGCCAGTTCTCCCTTCTTCTGTTAAATATTCCAATAAACAAGGCGTTCGAATTTCTTCATCCTTTCTTTGCAGGTGCATCAGTCGATCAACTAACACATCTAAAGCTTCCTTCATCCACAAATGGACACATGCTTCTCTAGCTTCCTTGACCGTCATCTATAAATGCAAATCCAATGTGATCAGAACTCATTTCGGCACAGATTGAGTGCAAAACACATGCAAATTCCAAAAACTAGATTTGTGCAACCAAATTCAAATGTTACATTTGCACTTGTACGCACACTCCTCTCAGAACTGGATAGTGACCATTTTACTTGACTTCAAAAAAGGAATGAAGAAAATTGTATAATTAAACCTACCCATAACCGTTGGCGGACATTTTTCTCAGGCCAAACATCTAATTCATCAGTGACGAAAAAAGCAAACATGTGTCCTTCATGAAATGTGCCTTGACTTTTGCTCTTGAAACTCCATGTACCCAATCGACACTGCAATAACATCAAACAATATGTAATTAATATTAGCAAATGATACATGACTAAAAAAAATTAAAAAAATGAAAACTTTTTCTTTTTATTTTTGTATATACTAACCCCAACATAGCCGAGTACACCCGCTTCCTCTTGAGTCTCCCGCGATACTGCCCCTTCCATAGATTCATCAATTTCCCAACCACCCTGATAATTCAATCCCAACACAGTCTATTTTAAAGAAAGCAAATGGTAATATTGATTCCCTCTTCATAAAATTAGAAAGTAAAAATGATTCAATAGACATATAGCTATGAACAATACCTTTGGGAACATCATTCTAGGACTCTTCTGTGAGCTGATCAAAAGAACTTCAATTTCTTCAATGAGGGTTCCATGAGTGGAAGGTGATTGGTTTTTGGTTTTTCTTAATCGGCACGGAATGCTTCTGCAGTGCACAATTTACAAATTAAAACGGGAAATAATAAGACTTATTTATGGCCAAAACATCATCAAAATCAAAAACCCAAAACTTATTTATTCTTTTTCCTCAATTTTTTCAGCAACAAACAGAAGATTAAAAAATCACAAACAAACATATAAAAAACAGAAAATGGTACTAGAATTTTCTCAAGTCAACCATCCCAAGAAAAAATTAATCATATATAAAAAAAAAAAAAAGGAGCAGCTCACCCAACAACTTGGCGGCAGCCTTGATTGTAACGCTGGAATTGCCTACCCGTGCGAGAAGCCATAGACACCAACTTCTTCATTTTGCAATTTTCCGAGAAAATTTCTCGAAGAGAGAGAGAGAATCAAAAGAATCACTTTATATAGAGGAATAATAGCAGTTAAGGCAGTTATTCTATCACCCAGTTTGAGATTAGTTTTCCTAAAACTGGATTGTTGTGTTGTGAAGAGGATCGTTCATATCTAAGCTGAGCTATGATAAATTTGCATTCCGTGGATAATATTGATGCTGAGTCTGTCCACTCCTTTAATAGAGAGAGAGAGGGAGAGAGAGGGTGTTTGGGGTCAATGATTGGATGATAATTCTGGGAAGGACGTGTGAGTTGGGGGTAGACCCGTACGAGTGGGACGCGTCACGTCGTTTTCGGAGAAGGAAAGTAAAAGACAGAGGTGACTCACTCGGTTTTGGTTTATTGCACAACATTTATGTGCTGGTCCAACAGCATACTGCCAAACTCGGTGTTGAATCGGCTAAAACACGGTTTCGGTCGTCATGAATTATACCTGTTGTTCATTATACCTTTTACCATTGATCCATCACATTTTTTAGATTTTATAAAGTTTAAAATGGAGAAGTTCCGGATCTATGAGTATATATGCCTACATGACGGACAAATTTGACGTAAATTTTTGTCAATGGGAAATATTAGATTTAATTTGTCTTCTGGGGAAAAAAAATTTAATGTAATCCCAAGATAACATAGAAACATAAAATAATGTAATAGGTATACGGGAAAAATATCTCGCACCTGATATTGAGGGTGATGTGACTTTTGTGTGTTTAATTTTTGAGAAAAAAACGAACAAAGTATATATTCTTCCTATAAAAAGAATAAATTGTTAGAGATTGGGGGCAGATCGGCCAAAGACACTCCAATGTTTAAATCAAAGTTTAATTGTAAATTACACCCTGAAATATCGTTCGAATATCAATTTGTACTCTCAATGATCAAAAATCTCAATTTATACCCTCAAAAATAGAAATTTGTATCAATATACACCCTCAAAAATCAAAAATCTTAATTTGCACCCTCAAATATAGAAATTTGTATCAATGTGCACCCCTAAAGATAAAAAAATCTCAATTTGTACCCTCAAAGATAAAAATTTGTATCAATGTGCACTTAATACTAAATTGATAAATTATACCTACATCCCCTCATGTTTGTCACTTAATCATTTGGACCCCTTCACATTTAGAATATTACTTCTACATCTCATGATGTTTGTGCACATGTAACACGTAACCCATTTTTGTTGATATATGTTAATATAACAGTTAAAAAATACGATTTTATCCTAATAAAAAATTTATAATTTCATATTACCCTTTATTTTATGGGTCCAATATACTATAAAGTTCAAAATCAAGATTACCATTTGAATGTCTAATATTCAAATGGTAAGCTTGATTTTGAACTTTAGAGTATATCGGACCCACAAAAAAATGTAATATAAAATTATAATTTTTTATTAGGATAAAATCATATTTTTTAATGGTTATATTAACATATATCAACGAAAATGGGTTACATGTTGCACATGCACAAACGCCATGAGATGTAGGAGTAATATTCTAAATGTGAAGGGGTCCAAATGATTAAGTGACAAGCATGAGGGGATCTATTTATAATTTATCAATTTAGTTTTAGGTGCACATTGATATAAAATTTTATGTTTGAGGGTGCAAATTGAGATTTTTTATCTTTGGGGGTGCACATTGATACAAAGTTCTATGTTTGAGGGTGCAAATTGAGATTTTTTATCTTTGAGGGTGCACTTTGATACAAATTTCTATCTTTGAGGGTGCAAATTGAGATTTTTGATCTTTAAAGGTCTAAATTGAGATTCGAATTATCTTTTGGGGTGTAACTTGCAATTAACCCTTAAATCAATAAGGATTTTAAGAGTAAGCAAACCAATTGCACTAAAAGAACCACTGAGTGGGATGGTCCATTGGGTATCAACTGAACTTTTCACCCTAATATTAGATGTTCAAGTTTTAGAATTCACATTGGAGCTCGATAGTTAATCGTTATGCTAACTGATTAGTAGTTAAAATTAGCATATCACTATTCCTTTTTAAGGCTAATATACTTTGATGCAGTTTAAATGATGACATTTCATGTCCTAAAGTGAACAAGGGCTCAAGGGCAACAAATATCAAACTTGAATGTAACACCAGCATATTGGGGGACAAAATTGGAAAAGTTTGGAACAAAGCAAAAACGTTTGAATGTTCCCATGAATTATTTGAATATCATTATGCTGAGACATAATGTGTTGCAGTTAAAAAGGAAAACATTGAGGTACTTGAGTATCATGTTCGAACGTTCTCCTCCACTATTGAAGACCAAGCTAATGAGTGCAAGGGCAGTAGTTCAAGACGTATGGAAGTAGATCTCCAGAAGAACACAGGCCACTTGAGTGGGGAATTCAGACTGCATCTCCATGTTCAAATGCCCATCAAGCAAAGAGAGTAACAATGCTCGAAAGCCAGACAACGTTCGAACGTTGTCCCAAGACATGCTGCATAGTGGATGGCTTTTAGTAGAACTTTCAAGGCCCAACACTATTCTTTCACACCATCTTGTCCCCTCCTCTTTGCCTATAAATACTCCCCTTGTGGGAGCTTCAATAGGGAGAGTTGGATTGGCACCAGACCAACATTTATTAGCTTGTTATAGAATTAGTCTTAGACTTATGCTTTCAATTACTTGCAAAAAGGAAGGTAGATCACCTTTTGGCTGTGGTGGAAACCCTCCAAAAGTCACTAGCTTTCTTCTACTTTCATTAATTGTCTTTCACTTCCATTACTTGAGCTTCCTTCTTCCCTTAGAGGAGTGAAACTTTTTCACTTTTCTAGAGCTTTACCAAAGCCATGAAGGGCGGAAGATAATTTACTCATTCTTTGTCGAAGATCAGCTTCTTGCTTATTGTGCTTTACCTTGTAATTCCTTTACTTAGAGGGATGAGCATCACTCACTTTTTTAGCTTTACCAAAGCCGTGAAGAATGAGTAGTTTCTCATTCACTCTTTAGTAAGAGGTGATGAACATGTATAAATTATCCAAAAGTTATATTTGTACATTTCATTTATGCTTAAATGCTTTATATTTCACTTGCTTTATTGATTGATTGATTGCATCTAGCAAAACTAAGATACTTTGTATAATTGTGACTACTTTCTATAACATAGATAACTCCTGTATAGAAAGACTCATTGGTTCAAGGCAAATACCCTGACTAGATCTTCATGACTATCCTTCAATCTTTACCATTATTGAACTTCATTTAAAGGATTAAATATTAATGTCATGGTTGGATGCCTTGTAGAAATACTTGCTTGTTTGTAGACAGGTTGATTCTCGGCACAGACAATTCTTGTAAACTTCTAGAAAGGCATCGGAACCATGCACTTAATTATCACAATCCACATTTATCTTTCGATTAACTTGTTGTTGACACAGGAGTTAATTGAGTTACCAGGCACAAGTATAATAAACCAGATGATTAACTACATATTCAGATCCTCGAGCTAAAGGGTGACTGTTTACATTTGAATTTATCTTATATTTTGTCTAGAAAAACCTCTTGGAAATAATGATATATTTGTCCTAGGAAAAAATCTAAACATCATCATTATAAATCTCAAAGGTTACAATCACATGGTCTCTGTCATTGCTTACTTCAAGACACCAACAATAGTTCCCTGTGGATTTGACTCCAGACTTAACCGGATTATTACTACAACTTGACCGCCTACACTTAGGTGTACACATATTGGATCAAGTCATTAACCTAGCTAAGTTCATTCCTGGGAGTAGTAATGGCGCAGTTAGGGGCCTCATTATCCCACTAGTGAGGGCCTATTAGAGTGGTTTCTAAGGCACTCCCCTTTATCCCCACCCCTTTTTGTTTCACAAGTCAAAAAAAAAAAAATTAACAGAAAGAAATGCATCCCTTAGACTTAATTTTTAGTCAGTTTTTTATAGTGGTCTTTTAGGGTTTTCATCACTGGCCATACAAGGTGACTTTAGTCAAATCTTCCTTAATTCATTAAGGAATCTTTTCATACTTCCTTTATTTTTTTTTGATTCTTTATTTCACATGTTTCGAATGTGCACCTACAGTTTGGGGAATTTAATTTGGCTAACTAACACCACTCCAGGTTATTTGGGATAGCCTAGCTATCTCTTTGCTCATTCTTTTATCAATGCCTAGGCTTTATCCTATAAAATTTCTTAGCTTTCTAGGGATGACCTAGTTATCTGATCTTGTTTGGATAGGGCTCATTCTCCAAAAGATAAGAGTCAAACTCTTGCCTTACTATAGTCTCGTAGCATCTCTTTGAGAGCATACTTCATAAGGCTCTACTCGGCATACATTTCCCTACTTTGGAATACTTTCGTCCGAGTGGACCACTTGGTTGGGCTTTTATTCAGTATGCTCGATTGAAGCGAAAGTATGCTCAGCCAAGCTATAGTCTTGTCAGGTTGAGCCTTTATCTGCTTGGTCATAGTTCGGTTAAGCCTTTTTCTATTTGGTCATAGTAGAATCATTCCAAAATAAAATTTTTCAACACATGCAAAATACCACGTATCCAAGTTCAGTTGTCAAATGATGATCAAAATTTTGAACTCTTTCTCTTGTCCCCAGGGAAAGTTTTCTATGTGGCACACTAAGAGACATTCTTTGTTTTTAATCATTTCCCTCATTAATTACCTTGTATCATTCCTTTCGCAAAGACATTTTTTGTGTCCCTTCACTATAGAAAATGGGCATTTGTATCATTCCTTACGATCTTGAATGATGCGACTGCAATCTGAAGATTGCAGATCTTTGTCTTGTTCACGGTTTCCCAATAACGATGAGCATACTCGCATAGAGTTTCATCCTATTTCTTCTTTAAAGAAATTAGCGCTCAAATGTCTTTTGGATGCCTAATGCTAGAAATGAACCAACCAATAAATTTCTCAGCCAATTGCACCCAACTATTGATTGAGTTGCTTAGGATTTGACTATACCACTCCATGGCTGACTCCCCTAAACTACTCAGGAATATTGTGCACGTTAGTACTTCATTTTACCTGTGAACTGCCATAAGCTACCCACAGTGGCAAATATGGATAATCAGATCTCTCTGGCCACCGTAGAGTTTGAAGCTTAGGACCATGAACTTTCTATGGATCCTTTCTCTTTCTATCCACCTTGTGAAGGAGGACACCTCCATTCTCCTAGAGTACTCTCTTGTTGCCCTTTTGGCCAGCTCTCTAG